ACATCTTTGTTGGTATGTGGTGCTGAGGATCGAACCCGGGCCGCACGCATGCCAGGCGAGCGCGCTACCGCTTGAGCCACATCCCCAGCCCAAAAGCCTCTATTTATATAAATGAATAAATATTTAGTAATAACCACAAACATACTCAACAAAGTGATAATGGAACTACTGTTGAAAGCAATTCAACTTCTTTTTTAAAATATTGTTTTAGTTGTTGATGGACCTTTATTTATTTTTTATTTATATGTGTTGCTGAGAATCGAACCCAGTGCCTCACACATGTGAGGCAAGCTCTCTGCCACTGACTGAGGTACAACCCCAGCCCCAAAGCAATTCAATTTCTGGACAAGTCTATGGAGTGCTATGGAACTTGTTAACCTCATGTGCTCTTTGTTAGCACTTCAAATTTTACAAAGGCTTGTGAAAACTTGAATTAATACATACAATAAAAGAACAAAATAGAAATGAAATGAACTACCAAACTAGTTGAAATACAAGCCAATACAAGTCAGAGTGTCATGGCTAAGAATGAAAAAAACAAAAATGTTTTTAGATCCTACTAAGTTGCTAGGGAAGTTGTTCTTGAGGCAGGGAATTTGTTCTTGAGCTTTCTGGGGACAAAGTGAACATGAAATTCCTTGTCCCAAAGGTGAATATTTACTAATGTTTAAAGCAAAGCTCTCTTATATTTAATATCTAACGAGTGTTTATAAAGGGTTTCCTATCATGGTTTTCTAAGACATAATAGATAATATCTCTAAAGCAAACATAGTAACAGCTTCGGGAAAAGGTTATTTCTGATCATGTTCCTCTGTGAAAGTGGAGAATATTAACAAAAAGCAATATGGATAATAAATCAGCAAAGAGTTCATTCATTAAATAAATATTCATTGAATGCTCATAATGTTAACTAAGGATATTAATATTTACTCACCTCCCTCCAAGGTCTAAGATGGTTTTCTGTGATTAATATATAACATTTTTATTTGCATATAAAAGATGAGGATTAAGTAGCCCTAGAGAACTACTAAATCCTTAAGATGTCAAACCAATTTTCTTTAGAATTTTATTATATCCTAGTTATAGGAAAACCACTAAAAAAAAAAGCCCAAGAGATTTTCAGAAACTGGTAGCTGGCATTCATTCATTCATTCATTCATTTATGCATGCCTTGTGCACACTAAGCAAGTGCTGTACCACTGAGCAACATCCCCAGCAATTTTTATTTATTTGTTTTTGAGGCAGTCTTACTAAGTTGCCAGGCTGATTTTGAACTTATGGTCCCCCTGCCTCAGCCTCCCCTGTGGCCATTTTAAAGTCAATAAACTCAACTTTTAGTTGTGATTGGTTTTTTGATCTTGACAATTTATGCCTTTTATTTAGAACAATCTATGCCTCCATTAAAGGCTGTTGAAAAAAAGGAAAGGTTGTCTAAAAATAAAAAGGAAACTAAGTTTAATTTGGTAATATTCATATAAACCTTATATAAACATCAAATAACAAACAAAAATGCTATGTAACAAAAACAAACTTTTGGTTTTTTATTTTTAGTTTTTTTTTTTTAGGTGGACACAATATCTTTTATTTTATTTTTATATGGTGTTGAGGATTGAACCCAGTGCCCCATGCATGCCAGGTGAACACACTATTGCTTGAGCCACATCCCCAGCCCAAACGTTTGTTTTTTAAAGTTAATATTAAGGAGCTAGGGATGTAATTCAGTGGCAGAGTGCACAAAGCCCTAGGTTTGCTCCCCAGCGACACACACACACACACACACACAAAGAATAACATTAATTTTACTAAACTGCAATTCTTTTATATATTCAGCCAGTACTTACTGAATACCCATCTTGTGCCAGCTGTTGTTTCAGGAACATCGTTTATTTGAATTAAGATGTTTTGCTGTTAAGATTAAAGTCCTTTCTAGTGAGGTCTCAATGAGAGTTTAATCAGTTAAATCTAATCAGACAACTCACCTTCATTGCCCAGAGGAAAATTCTTTACTAATAGGATTTTATTAAGCAAAAAGTGATCTGAGACTGCTGTACATCCAAGGAAGAGAAAGCTTCTTATGGGGAAGACTAGACTGCTTAAAGAAATTCCACTTGCTAAGATTTATAAAATATTGAACTTTTTTTTAATGCTAGCATAAGTTCATTTTTCATGCCATTCTTCTCAAATATACTAAATAAAAACCTTCAAAATTAAATCTACCCAGTGTGAAGATTGTCTAACGCAATCTTTTTTTCAACAGGATCATACTCAAACCACTCAAGAAGAACCTAACACTTTAAATATTTCCAGAGTTACCACAATCTTCCTGACACTCTTCCTGTTGTTTTATTGCCCCAAATTCTTTATATTCAATCAAAATTATCTATTATATTTGAAGCTCTTTTTCTCTATTTTTCTAGTTAAGCTCGTTTTATGGAGATTTTGAAAAGATGTATGGATGGCTCATGGATGACCTAATGTTTTCCTTCTCAACTCATCCTAGGGCTGTCTGTAGGAAGCTGGTCCTCATGATCCTGCCACACCACAGCATTACTTTCAAAATGGAGCAGAGATAAAATCTGTTGGAAGCAATTCAAAACTTTACACTAGCTTTCAGTAACAAACTAAATAGAAAATACACTTTAATGATGCAAAACATTTTTAAACTTTCCTTATTGTTATTTACAGTGTCTATCTCTATGTAGCAACACTTTCTCCATAAATAAATCGCTTCCTTTCCTTCTGCCCTCCATCTTCCTTCATCTCTTTTCTTTTACCACTAACTTCTTAAATATAAAAAGCTTTAAGGAATGGGTTACTTAATTTCATCTATGTAATGAAGTAGTAATGGAAGAAAGAATAGTAGGCCAAGGGAACAATGCTAAAATTTAAGAGGTATGGGAAAGATATGTAAGTTATATTTCAGTCACTAACATGTCATCCCATTAATATTTATAATAATCATTCATCATTTACTTGAAAAAGCATACCAAGCCAATCACAAGCTTTCACCAGATTGTATTAGCTTTGTTTTGCTGTGATCAAAATACCTGGCAACAATAACTTAAAGAAGTTATTTTGGAGCTCATTTTCAGAGGTCTCATGGGGGGGAAGGGCATTCCTAAGGGAAGCTGCTTCTGGTAAAGAGAAAGGAAGCATAGGGGGGCAGGGGACAGGGTCACAGTGTCCCACCTCCCCCAACTATGTCTCTCTTGCCTACAGTTACTACCTAGTTTGTTCAAACTAGGATGGACTGGTTAGGTTACAGCTTTCACAAGCCAATTACTTCCCCTCTGAATATTCCTGCCGAAACACAGGAGCTCTGGAGGGACATCTTATTTCAAAATCATAACACTTAATACTAGTTCTTTTAAATTTTCCTCACAAGACTTCCTGAATGTCAACTGTTTTGGCTTGGTCCCTGTTTAAATAGTCTTATGTAAATGGTGATCTATATTATCAGTTCTTTTGAAGTAACAGCTCCAAATTATCACAGGGTTTGTGGGGGGGGGTCTAACCTATCTCTTATAACTGAGTGTCACTCCTTTATGTAAAAGAAATTTCATCAAGTGGACAAAGTGCCTATTCAGCTGTGCAATTCTGGCAACACATAATCTCTCTTGCCTTGCAGGTATTCAACTTTGATGTGAGCCAGTTGAACTGGCTAGAATACATTGAAAATTATGTTTTGGGAGTTAAGAAATACATATTGAAAGAGGATATGGCTGGGATCCCAGAAGCAAAGCAACACTTAAAAAGGTAAGCATAATTACTCAGGTAATATTTATGGAGCATCTATTGTGTATGTCACTTTGTACCAGATAGAATTTGAGAAGGGAAAGGGAGGAATTAATTTTTCTTAAGCACTTTCTGCAAGTCCTGTGTTCCATACTATGCCCTATAATAATACACTGCTTCATTTAGACTTCATTACACCCCTATGAGGCGGGTATTATTTTCATTATCCCATTTTTATCACGAAAGTATTTAAGATCAAAGAGGCAAACAACTTATCCATGGTAACACCTCCTTAGTACAGGAGCCAGATTTAAATTCAAGTTTCTATTTCTTTTACCACACCCTATCATAATGTGATATAAAAAAAAATTCCAAAGGCAAGAGACCTGATTATTATATGTAATCCAAGAAAAATCACTTAGCTACTCTTCAGTTCCTTCAACTTCCTTACATTTCTTTCAGCCATAATCCTGGAGGTACAAATAATAATAGCAATGCAGAAAATAATAAGAATGGAAAAGCAGATTATAAACAGGAAGGAAATCTGAAAAGCAGGCCAAGAACTTTAGAATTTATCCTCTGATAAACAAGAACCAGTGAAGATTTATGATATGGTAATGAAGTCAAATATATTTTTAAAAGATTATACTGGTCATGTTTGTAAAATAGCTTAAAAATAGAGAGAGATGAGCAAAGAGAATCTAGCTAGAGAAATGATTATTCAGAATGTTGTGGAAATAAGATACAGAAACCAAAAAGCCATCAAATCATGCCACATACTCTACTTAATATTTGCTGATTACAACCAGGAAAAGACATTTATGCTTAAGATCACACAGTTGAGTATTTGTACTATGTTAACTTTGGTTATGTCTGTCTCTTCCCCAGGCTCCGAAATATTCACTACTTCTTTAATACTGCCCTCTTTCTTATCATCTGGTGCCTTCTCATTGCAAGATCTCAAATGGCCCGGAATATGTGGTTCTTCATTGTGAGCTTCTGTTATAAGTTCCTCTCCTACTTTAGGGCATCCAGAACGCTAAAGATCTAAGAACATTCAACATTCACCTTTTCGGAACCTCTCAGATACCTCTCAAAACAGTAAACTGTGGTTCTCAAGATTAGGAAGTAACAAGGAACATGTCCAAGCTGACATATGTCAAATATGCTGTTATGTATTCATCACTATTTCTTAACTGTCTGTTTTTATTTCCATGAAAGAAGGAAAGTCACAAACTAGACTATAGCCATACATATTTTAGGAAAAAATTACTTCCAGATTATTTCCTAACACTCTAGTCTAGGCTCTTGCATACTCAATGTGAAAATGCTCCCACTTTTCTTATTTAGCTTTTCTCTTTGAGAGGATTAATTTCAACTCAATAAGCAAGGAAGAACATATGGAGAAGCCAAAATAAGCTAAGGCAGTACTAACCCTGGAAACATACTGGGGTAACTGGGAGAAAGGTCTGAACACAAGACAAGTAGAGGAATTGTGATCTCAACACCCTCACAAATGCTTTAAGTTAAACAATTCCCCACTGGAGTGGCTCTCCTTCCTTTCTATGCTGTAACAGAGTCCTGGTTAAGGAGTAGAATCAGAAAAGTGAGTTCACATTTACCATTTTTCTTAACTATATCCACTTCTTAAAAACTAAAAAAAAAAAAAAAAAAGATCAAGAAGTGTAAATAATTGTGTATAGAATGAGGACTTAAGCATATTTGCATTGGAGAGTCTCACTATGCTTTCAAGTCAACATTAATAATAACATCTCATAAAATTTTGATAACTACTATTTAATCACCAGTTTTATGGATAATCTTTTCTTGTGAGTTTCCTGCTTATTGATTAAAATTGCCAAAGCCCTTATATTTAAGCTTATTTCACTCATTAGGCATGTATTTGAGTGGCTAAAGGGGAAGGAAATTCCTAGACCAGAATCTTAAAAACCCAGTCACCTCATCTTTGCCATTGATGAAAGCAAAATTTCAAATAAAAATTTAAAATCCAGTTTGTTTTCTTATATAAAGTGGGGAAAATTACTCTTCTGTGATCACCAGAGGATTTATTAGTATCTTGATTATTTCAATTGTACAATGTTGACTGTACAATGTACAGCAGAAAAGTGGATTTCATTAAGTTTAGAGGGTTTTTCTTGCCTAAAATGTTTTATATAATACAAATTAGTAAAATCTTTATATGCTCTCACATTCCCATAGTAATAACTGTTATCCCAACTTTTCTCATATTTGAGAGTGCATGTTGATTACTTTTCTTCATGCTAAAACAATATTATTCAAATATGACTTTTGGGATCTAAAAAGTAATCATCACCACACAACTAGTTGAAAAAGTTAATAAAGAATAGCAGTTACACTTATGCTCACCTTCTGAAATAATTAATTAGTAATATTCAAAAAGGTACATTCTGGTAGTTGAAATATATAAGGCCTTACGGCAGTATCATAAAGGGCATTTTGGGGAGACTCTTCTGAGCAATGTTTCTACCAATTTGACATAAGATCTAGGAACTACTTTCTATGGCAGACAACTCAGCTCTGAAACAAAACACCAGTTTGAGATGTCTATATGATACTTTTAAATTACAGTAATACAAACTGTGGATACAGTAAAAATATGAAATCAAGATAAAGTTCAATGGATTGGATTTAAACACAATAATTCTAAGCATTTACTATCTTTTGATTATTGTATGTTGCATCAATTCAGTAACTCCACTGATCAAGTACTCACATTTTGACTTTTGATTAAATAAAACTTTGAATTAAAAACTTCCTCTTCTAGTGTTGTGTATTTGTTTAGCTGCATGTGATAGCAGATCATCACATAACACCACCCTGTACCCGACCCCAGAAAAAAGAAAGAACCTTCCAAAGAACTCTGTACAAATAAAACCACAGGAATATCTATAGGATGAATATAAAAATACAGGTACACAATACTTCACTTTTTTTCTGATACCCTTTGTAGGATTACATTTACATGAATGTTTTATCAGTGGCATCAGATAAATGACAGGAATACTGAGTGCTCTTGTAATGATTCAGCAGTAAAAGGTACCTGCATGACAGAGAATCCCTATTATATAAGTAGTTCATATCAGGACCAATTAACAATAACTTGAATGTCTAATATATTCGGAGCAATGGGAAAGAATCTTCTACTTTGGGGAGCAAATAAAAAGTAAAAGTACCTATGTTTAAAAGGAAGTTTGGTAATCCCTATATTCTACACCCACATGATACTTAATATAGTAGTGAATATTAATTGCCTAAGGCAATTAATACTAGAAAAAATTGAAAATGGGTACACAACTTAGTAAACTTTTCATAGAAATTTTATGCTAACCTAATTTCTAGTTAACATCCCATTTAAATAAATTCCAAGGTAAATAATCTCATAGCCAGAGCATGTTATCTCACAAAGAATATAAAAATTAGATGAACTAAACTTTCCAGAAACACAAATTTTTAAATTAACAGGAATCATATGCAAATTTTTAAATGGCTACTTTTCTAGAACTGTTCTTCTAATATCTGGAAATATATAAGCAACTGTTTATGATAAAAAGTAATATTTGTCCCATATGCCTACAAAGTTTTAAAAATCTCACTGCCTAGGTTACTTTGAAAAAATATTTTCCAGAAACTAACAAAATGAAGAGTAGTACTTGTTGGTTTTAAAATGTTATTGGTTGAGAGACAGCAATCCCCTAGAAGTACAGCTACTGTTGTAGCAAAGGAGCTTAACTGAAATTGAGTTTAAATAGCAGAAATATCTTTATTGATACAAATTTTAGTGAATCCCTATTCTAAAACACTTATTTTAATCTGGAATTGAATATCAGAGGAGAGATGTGAGGTATGGCAACTTGGATGAATTATAAAAAATACCTTAAAGAAATTAAAGGTAGGGGTTGGGGGCAGGTATGACTCGGTGGTAGAGGGAGTGGCTAACATATTCCAAGGCCTGGGTTTGATTGCCAACATTGCAAAATAAATAAAATTAAAAACTAAAAAGGTAGTTACTAAAGTGACAACTACCTGAAAAAAGAATACAAAGAATTTGCAATACATTCATTACATATTTATGTAAACTGTTGCTGACGTAAAAAATTTTCATTAATTTTGTAAGTTTTCCTTATGCCTTCTCAGTTTTAAAATTACTACATAAATTGCATTAGTTCTACTATTTGGAAGATTTAACTTAATTCTTTTGGCTAAACATCCAATATTATTTGGAGTTGCAAAATAAAATTACTTAAATGTTTTATATTTTATCAATTGTAATCTTATCTGTACTCAATTTTTTACAGACCTATATGAATTAGCTCAACTTTGGTCACTCTTCCACTTTTAACATAGCAGTTTAGCTCCATCTAGAGTAAAAGCAAATATAACCAAGTGATATTTAAATATTCATGTAGTTTATCTATGAGAAAAAAAGGTTTAAATATAAGGAACTGAGGTTTATTTGTAGGTACATGATCTTAATTTTCTAAGATTGAAAAAACAAAGAAAATGTTTTATAATTTGTAATTTTATTTAGGGTCAAATGTTTGCAGTTGAGACACTAAATGTTTCCTGTTCTGTTCCTGGGATAAAATTTTTTAAAAATCCAAGGCAGTTTTTTTCAATAATGTAAGGTGATTTCATCATTAAGACATATTTCAAAAGGGGGGGATATATATTTTGAGCATATCATCACAATAAGGGAATACTTGAGTATTAATATAGGCAGTATAGCATAAGGCAGTAAACATATGGCTTACCACCTTTTTTATTTTGATGGTGGTGAAAAAGGTTGACTCCATTTGATTTGCTAGAATTCAAGAGAGAAGGGAAAGTACTAGGTTAAATGGCATGCTGAGATTGTAAAGATCCCAGGTTTAATTAATTTTTGAATGGTTAAAAAATACACCTTGATCTCAAGTATAAACTGAATTTTGATGCAGAAGAGTTACATATAAATTTACTATCCAGTATTTAAATTATGTAAGATTAAAATGCATGGTATATCTTTACTTCCAATATTAAAATATTAATCATTTCTTTATGAATTCTAAAGTTAAAACTATAGATTATAAATTTTGTGGCCGTAAATTATTATAAAAATACAATGCTTTCTATCAAAAATGTGCAGGAGAATAATGTATATTCATCATCTGAGAACCAGAAGTAATTTTATGAATTACAGAATTATTAGATAATAATTCTGATTAATATTGAGCTAAGCTATTCTGAAGAGGTAGTTCTGAAGTGTACAGATATTTAGGTGAATTATTCACCTAAATATTTAATCTTCCTCATAGCTAATATATGAAAACACAGTTTAAAAATTACATTTCAAGTAATTTGAGGTCCCTGATTTTTAAAATATGTATGCTGGAACATATACATAATAGATTATGAATACACAATGAAAAGGAGGATTGGACTAAGTAATAAAGTTGAGTATCAGGGCTAGAGGGACCCACAGACATAAAGTTGCATGACTGGTAGGTCAGAAAAGTGCTTTCCAGGATGAAAGTGAAACACTTGGAGAGGACAAAAACACCTAAGGAATCTTAATACATAGTTATACTTCATCATTCAAAGAGCTGGACAGAAAAATTTTAATTCTTTCAATGCCAAAAATATGCCTCTATTTGAAAATCTTAACTCTGAAGATGTATGGCAAAGCAGAATTTTGAACTAATGAAATCCCTTTATAGTCAGTTTTAATGGGACAGATTAATTTCATTAAAATTTTAATGTGGTATTTAGAAAACATGGAAATAGTTAAAAATCATATAAATACAAAATAATTTTAAAAAATCTTTTAAAAAGATATTTAACAGCTATAATCCTGAAAGTAACCCTAAATCAGCACTTTCCTCCCATTAAAAAAAAAAAAAAAAAAACCCTCAAAAGTTGATTGAATTTTCTGACAAGCAGGTTAGGAAGACCAATAACCAGTCTAAAGTCAGTAGCAAAAATTCTAATTCTCTCCAATTAATCTCCTTTTGAGAAATGTTGTATTCGTTTCTAGCCCACCTTTGTTGCAAATAATATTAGAAGAAATAAAAAACACAAAGAAGGCTTGTTCATTATTTGGACTTTCAATTAAAAAATCTTTTAAAACATGTCATTTATATTTATCAGTTAACATTAGGTCTTTGTGATCCTGTATATTTTAAACAAAGATGCTTCTGTTATTTTAGGCAAAATATCATTCTCCATAAGCCTTACTGCAAAATAGTTTTGACCTGGATTTCTCTATGGTTTACCCTCTTTTTAAGGAAGTCTATCTTCCTATTAACTGATTCCACTTCTAACCAAAATAAAAAATATTCTGATTTTAAAAAAAGAAAAACAGCTTTTATCTTTAAAACTTTTTCACTTGAAAAACTATAACTTGTGACCCACCACTCTCTAAAACCACCATTTTTAATCTAGTCGTTTAAGTCTATTTGTTAAGGACTAAAATCTTCTGCTAGTCTCATTACCTACCTGGAATCTTGTTTCCCCATTTCCTTAAATGATTTAAACTTTGGGAAATGACTGATGACTCTTCTACTATTATTAAGTATTATAAAAGGAAAACTCATGTTGACATGCATATTCCAAATATAGGTTTTAATGGCACCTACGTGATAGCTCCCTTTCATTATTTTAATCTTTTATATTCTAGAAATTTTAAACCAACCCTTAAAAGGTTATGGAAAAAAAAAAAAAACAACCTTAACCTAACACAAATCAATCACATTCAGGACATACTGAATGAAATATTTCCTTCATAATCCAGCTTTTAGTTTAACGGACATTGTTCAATATGGCACCTCTGAGACCTGACATTATCTTGTCATACTTAAAATTTGCTTCATACTTCTAATTTATTTAAATTTACCCTGCTCCCCATTTATCACATGTATAAAATATTCAGGTTTTCCTCTTATTATTAACAGACTAATAATTTTTGTTATCAGAAGTGGATCTTTTTCTTTCTCACCCCCATCACTCAAAATATACCAATAAATAATGATCAGATTAAGGAACAGCATCTTAAAAAAAGAATGTGCTTTCTTTTCCCTAGAGTCTCCACTATACAATTTGTGAATGATATCTCTGTTACATATCATACCACTTACATATCTGCCCTTGGGAGATTTCACCTTAGTCTTCTAAGATTCTACCTTGAATGGTTATAAACGTCAAGAATTAAAGAAAAGCAGTTACTTTCATAAGACCAAAATACTGGATAAAATGGTCTCGTCAATATGGCTTAACATTAATATGGCTATAACATAGGGACTAGTCCCTGTTTTCTTTATTAACATTGTGAACTGATCACAATTTTTTAAAGTCTAGACTAGTTTTCCATAAGTTTTACATATTTTTATTCTCACATCATATCTCTTAAAAACAAAAGGACGCAAACATTTGCAGTTATCAATGCCTTTTCCTTTAGATGTGGTTTCATTTCCTTCCTTCAGGCTTTGTTACCAAGAAATAAGATTTGAGTTCAACACTGTCCATTTGTTGTGAAAGTATCAGAAGGAGTCATCTTCAAACCAATACTCCAGATGGACTTATTCACCGATTAGCTGCATAATTTCTTCTAGGACATTTGTAACAGACATAACATACACAGGATTTCAGTTTGGGCTGTTTTTTTTTTTCCCTTTTTTTTTTCTTTTTTAAAATAAGTGTGTTTCCAGGTTCTCACTCATATTTTCTTTTCTTTGAATGTATTGCACAATATTTTATTATTAAAAAAGGTTTTATGTCTCAGGCAAAAAGTTTATCTCCTTCCCTCAGGAGTTGCTAATGTGTATTATTTTCTAAAAGAGGTAAGTGGTTGTCTGTGTGGCCATCCTCAAAGGGAACCTAAAGGGAAAAGGGAGAAAAAAGACCAAATCATTAGTTTTATTCCTTATACTATTTTCTCTAAACACAAAGCTGTATTTTGGGTAATTCTTTCTAGGCACAAAAAGTGACTATTTAGATTTAGAAATGATATTATGATTCAGAGATCAGCACCATGTATATAATATCACTTACAGAATGGACAGATTTATAGGCTCCAAGTCTGAAACGACAGCAAATTATTTCAACTATAAATTTTCCAATTCCATGTAACATGCCTGTAACAAAAAATGTTTATGTTTTTAAATTATTCTGAAATTGCTATACATGAATAAAAATCTCAACTATAATGAAATAAATTAAGGAAGGAAACAAAGTTGTTTGTATTATTCTCTTTCATGGTTAAAAACTAAGACAGATAGTAAGGCACAGTGGGGCATACCTGTAACCCCAGTAGCTCAGGACACTGAGGCAGGAGGATCACAAGTTCAAAGCCAACAGTCGCAACTTAGTGAGGCCCTAAGCAACTTAGCAAGACCCTGTCTCTAAAAAAATATAAAAAGGGCTGAAGATGTGGCTCAGTGGTTAAGTACCCCTGGGTTCAATCCCCAGTACCAAAAAGAAAAAAATAAATAAATAAGAAGATAATTATACATTTAAAAACAAATTAGTGTTTTTTTCAAAATCACAAGGCCATATAATTCATAACCTTGACATAATCTTTTCAAGGTTTCCCCCTATAATTTTGAAAATAAATTAACACGTTTAAATAAAGCACAAAACAAGGAATACATAGAAAAGTTATTCATTTGTTTAAAAAAATATGCTTAAGAATATGATGCCTTGCTAGGAGCAATGGTGCACACCTGTAATCCCCGCAGCTCAGGAGGCTGAGGCAGAAGGATCAGGAGTTCAAAGCCAGCCTCAGCAAAAGAGAGGCGCTAGGCAACTCAGTGAGGCCCTGTCTCTAAATAAAATATAAAATAAGACTGGGGATGTGGCTCAGTGATTGAGTGCCCCTTAGTTCAATCCTGGGTATCAAAAAAAAAAAAAAATGATGACTTGGAAATATAAGGCAGGATGATCACAAGGCTGAGGCCATCCTTAGTAACTCAGCAAGGTCCTAAACAACTTAGCCGGACCCTGTCTCAAAATGAGAAATATAAAAAGGGGTGGGAATGTGGCTCAGTGGGTGAGCACCCAAAGGTTCAATCCCAAGTATCAAAAAAAAAAAAAAAAAAAAAAAAGATTTCAAGTATATAAACCATTCAACTTCATGTAATACAAACAGGAACTAAAGATGAAAAAGGAAGTGAACTTTTTCTCTACTTTACCTATTATGCTTAAATCTCAAATTTTCATCATTACAATTTTGCAAATGATCTTTAAAAGAATTTCAGAATTTGGGGCCAAAAATCAAAACATTATGGATTGAAAAAAAATCCCACATACTACAAAGTTGAAAGTAGCATAAGATATGATTTTACACAGTATAAAGCTTAAATGAAAAGAAAATTTGAATTTAAGTGACTATTTCTATGCATTTTCTCATTTATCTCCATACTACACTTACAACTTATATCTTTCATTGTGATTTTCACAGATGACAAAACAATTCCAGAAAAGGTAGGTGACTCATTCAAGGCTACCACCAAGAAAATTGGCTGATTTAATTCTAGTTCTGTCTTCTGTTAACCCCCAGGATATTTGTAGCTTACCAAATATCCCTTCAATTAGTGAATGCTGTGAAATTAGTTACTCTTAATGGTGAGTCAATATAATTTTAGAGGTTTGAAATTAACGTTAAACAAAAAGTTCTTCAAATATTAAAACATAAGAATGTGTATACTGCCCCCTTTTAAGGAGAAGTATCTTAAGTGTAATTAATAGATACTTTTTAGAAATTAAGACAGAGAAATGACTGTTAACCTGTTGTTGAAAAGATTCCTCCAACAATACCACAAAGTCTTACAAAAAACTGCCAGAATGGCATATGCTCCTCAGTAACTGTCACCATAAGAGAACTGAGATCATATTTCATAAATATCCCAGAGACTCCATGGCTGCCTGCAGCATGGTTAATGATACGTTCCTAAAAGGAAGGGGAAGAAAAGGAGGAAGAGAGAAACAAAATTTGTTATCTGAATGTTATCATATATCGACAGTATTAAGTTGTACAACTCTACTATACAAGACATTCAAAATTCTTTATGAATTATCCTACCAAATTAAACTCTTCAGACACAGTTATTCAGTATTCTTTGTGTGGTTAGCTTCTGAAACTATCAAAAGAGCAAAATTATTCTTTCTTATAGTTTTTCTTTTTTTTTTTGCAGTATTGGGGATTGAACCTAGGGTGGAGGGTGGGGGTGTTTTACCATCAAACTATAAGACAGGGTCTTGCTAAAATGCTGAGGGTGGCCTCAAATTTGTGATCTTCCTGTCTTAACCTCTGGAGGTGCTGGGATTACGGGCATGTGCCACCAACCTGGCTCATTCTTTCCTATTTTCTCAAATAGGTCAGCTTACATTTGAGTTTCATACTGAGTCCAAGAGCTTACAACTGAATAGCATGTTCCTCATTGACCAAAACAATAAGAACTAAGTTTATATTTTGATATAGTTTTGTAGTATTTATCTGCTAGGAATTTACAAAATAATCATATTTCTTTCCTGTCATTTATGTCATCAAATTTAAAAAAGCAAATAATTTCAGTTTCTGCTATTCATTTTGAACTACACAACATGAAAAAAAGACAATGCACTAAGTTGAAAGGTAATATTTGAACAACTGTTTCAGTTTTAAAAGGATTTAAACAAACAAACAAAAAGGAATGCCACTAGAATCATAGATCTACCAGTGTAAACATTAAGAAAAAAAAAATCTATTTCATTCCATCCTGCTTATACTTCAAAACTCAAGTTTGGAAACTAATAATTTTCTATTATGGCTCCAAACACTATGCTACCATAGCGCGTTGTTGTAACTTTTGTGCCAGATTCTGTTTGTAGAAGTTTTAACTAAACTGTATGCTTTTAGGAATACGAATGATATAATTATTTACCAAGATAAATTCAAACATTTTTATGTGGAGCATTACAAAACCCTTTCCCCTATCATTAGCACAACAGAACCTTACAAGCTACTGATCAAATTTTTAATAATGACTTTACCTTAAAGCTCTGAAATGCTCAATATCGTGTTGAAGTTACCACATATATGGATATGTTAGAGACTGCGATGTCCATGTAACAAAAGACTAATGATTTACTTTGGGTTCTAAGACCAAAGATCAGCCCTCTTTCCCTACCCCTCAATCCTGCACTTTACCAACTCATCACTTCTTTTCTCAAGTGAAACACAACTAATTTGGTCATCATATCAGTATTCACATCCCTCTAAATATTAAATGCTCTGAGATTCTAATATATACCTATTTTTTGGGTGGGGTACTGGGATTGAACCCAGGGCACTCAACCACTGAGCCAGTTTCCCACGCTATTTTGTATTTTATGTAGACACAGGGTCTCACTGTGTTACATGGTGCCTTGCTGTTGCTGAGGCTGGGTTTGAACTCACCATCCTCCTGTCTCAGCCTCCGGAGCTGCTGGGATCATAAGCAGGTACTACCGTGCCCAGCTATATTTTTTTTACTTTTTATTTGGATTTGTTATTTTTAAATATATTCTGGTATAATTTCATATCAGTATATAGAGATCTTTTTCATTCTTCCCTTTTGAAGATACATGTTCTTCTATTATATAGATGCACAGCTTGGGTTGTTTCTAGTCTTTATTATTGTAAATAATAATACAATAAATAACCTTTACACTCAACACTTTTGTATTATTCTCACTGTATCTTGAAAAAGAATTACTAGGAAAGGGTTTGCTAGGTCAAATGATAAATGCATACATCATTGTGCAGATAGTGCTGAACTTCTTTTTACAGAGACTATGACACTTTACATTCCCATAGCAATACATGTGTCTGTTTTCTCCAAAGCTTATAGTATCTTCCAGATGTTTGTTAATCTTACAGTGAAAAATATCTCCCTATTCTTACAGAAATGTTGAAAAGCACAATATACACTTATATACATTTTACCTAGTTTGTATATACACACAAAAATAAACAAATACACACAATTATATATACTTGGTTTTTCTCCCTGAGCCACTTGAAAAGTTAGACACAAAATTTCACCCCTAAAAAAACCCACCTAATTTCAGAACATGGAAAATTCTACAATTATTAAGAACCTGGTCATAATAAGTTACAAGTATACAAAAAGAAAACTACAAATGAAGAAAAGAAAATTTTAAAAAGCACTTATTTTTTGTCTTGCAATTCTTCTTGATGTTAGTATTTGAATGTTTACAATTCTTAAATATAAAAACAAGAAAATAAGGGCTGGAGATGTAGCTCAATGGTAAAAGTACTTGCTTAGCATGTGCAAGGCCCTGATTTTTATATTCAGCTCCACAAAAAACAAATAACAAAGTAGGTAAGAAATCTATTAAACTTTTCAGTTCTAAAATTCTGCTCCATCATTGTCAGTATTTATTTATAAAACCACACTATTCTGAGGTTCCAGAACACTTTACCAGATAACTACAAAGTACTAACTTGGAGGAGGCAAGCCCTCTAAATTTGCTATCTGATGTATAAGAACCACATATGTTCCATGGTAGGAACATTTACTAAAAAATAAATAACAGAAGGCTGAGTTGGGGCTCAGTGGTAGAGTGCTTGCCTAGTACATATGAGGCACTGGGTTTGATCCTCAGACCACATAAAAATAAATAAATAAATAAAATAAAGATATTGTGTCCATCTACAACTAAAAGAAAATATTAAAAGTAAATAAACAGCGAAGACATCAGAAAATCTGCTGGCCAATTAAGAACAATATAGAGGAAAAACTATTATAAAAGTAAACATGTTAAAAAGAGTAAAGACATTATGAATAAGTGATGTCACCATAGTTTAATGATTCAAAGTTTTCATTGATAGAAACATTTCAGATTTTAAAAAAAATTCTGTTCTCACTCTAGAATACACTAATACTTCTGATAAATTTTTGGCTTAAAATAAAATGTTAATTCATTTCAAAATTCCTACAAATTTTAAAATGAGAAAAGGAACCAACTAAATTTGAACCTTGTACCTGGGGGGCTATAAAACACTAACAAAAAAATTTAAAAATAATTTTACCAATCAGAATCAACTTACCCTTTCTGTCACAGAAAACTGATGGGTATCTGCTGAAATTTTATATGTATGTAGTTTTGTTGGCACAACTGTAATAAAATATTGGAACATCTGGTTGTCTAAAATAAAAACAAATTATTTTTTTATCAATCCAATAGCAATAGAACCTTCTTCTAGAAAATACATTAAACTTAAAATTTAATATTATATTTGACTTAATGTCTAATAAAATCAAAATATACTCATGGTTGCACTTTCTTTCTCTTGCTCTTTCTTTTTCTCTTACACATACACACACAATACACAAACATACAATGTTAAAAAATATGAACTAGTGATTTAGTTAGGTAGCCCTTATAATCATTATCATTCTCATATGAAACGTGGAAAAATAAAGGTAACATTTCTTTGTAGTACAGGAATATGAGTAAAATAAAATTACAATAGTATAATCATCATAATTTTCAGTTTCTCCTTTTATCTTAAGATACACTAACAAACTTCTAAATGACTACTGTGAAATTAAGAGGGTCATTTTTATGGCATGCCTAGGTTTAATACAAGCAAAAAATACCAAATAACAAAGTAGGTAAGAAATCTATTAAACTTTTCAGTTCTAAAATTCTGCTCCATCATTGTCAGTAATTGGTAATACTTAGTAATTGGTAATACTGGTAATGAAGTAATCTTCATTCTCTAGGTATACTCTAAAAAATTAGGTGTGTCTGTAGATGAGCAATGAGGCCACATTATGTCCAAATGAAAACAGATGTACTTCACTCAGCATAGTAATTTTCTTCTGAAAATTAACTATGTATAAATATAGTAATTTAAAATTAATTTTAAAGAACCAGATAAATAGCTTCTTTAAAATAAAAATCCTAGTCCTGTGGGCTGGGGATATAGCTCAGTTATAGAGTGCTTGCCTCATATGCACAAGGCGTGAGTTCATTCCCCAGCACACACCCCCCACACACACACACACACACAATCCTTGGCCATTTCCCCAGAGACTCTAATTTAAATGGATAAGATGACCAGGAATATGCACTTTTCACAAAGACCTCAATAATTGTGATAGAGAGCAGCCCAAGAATACTTTAAAAAAAACCTAAATATTTACCTACCTGGTCATATTATAGTAAAAAATAAAGAGTTAAATTACTATGTAACAGGAACCCTCAACAAATCTTTCTATAAGGCAAAGTTAGTGGGAATGTAACCTGAGTTTTAATCAGTGTTTTGCCATTTACTAGGTTTACAGTTTTAGACAAGTCAATTAACCACAATTTCTAATTTTCAAGAAGGGTATGACACAAACGGGACAGAGCATATCCTACTTAAAATGGACATCTATTCATCCCCATGTAATACCAGAAGCACTATTTTAAAAAAGAATCCAAGAATCGGTATCTACATATGTGATCTTTAGAAAATCAAATGTAGTAATAAATTAAACATATTTTAAAATACTACAAACAAAATAAACCCGCAAGGCAAATATGAGTCATGGAAGACAGTATGGTTTGTGTACACTTCTTCCTCCCTGCCTTTGCCCAAGTTCACCAAGAACAGAATGTACTTCCCTTCACTGATTTGGAGCAATTTAGGCATGTTTCATGGAAGGTTGATAAGCCCAAATTCTGTAGAATTAAGTTTATAAAATGAGGCATATCTCATAAAGAATTCTGTAAGTTTTGGCACACAGAATTAAATGAAAACATGATACACTTAAAGACCAACAAAGTCTGTGAGTGTGCATTAAAAGAAAATACATGTTTAAGCTAAAAATTTAAAAACTTATGGATTCACAACTTTTATATAAACTGGATGTAGGCTAAGAGAGGTGTTTAGCTACTAAGAAAGGGATATCCTCCGTGCCCTCTTTAGATACGGCCAAAAAAGATATGGGAAAGCAGGAATACTTTTCAGAGGACAAAGCAAAGAGAAATAAAGAAAGCATGGGGGATTAGGGAAACCTGCCTAGAAGCAGAATAGGACAAAATCAACGCACATCTCCATTCCTAGAGCAGGGAAATGTCACATTTGTCCAGTTGAATTAGAAAACTGCTATAGACCACTGACTCACTCCTTCCTTGCTTGTTTTGAATGGGAATATTTAGTGCAATTATAACACGATCTGTGCTCCAAAAGTGTAAGGTAGGTCCTTAAAAGGTACAGTTGATGAGCTATATCCCAACCTTTATTTTTTACTATGACCAGATAAGTAAAGAAAAGGCAATCAAACATTTTCAGAAAAACATGGAAAATAAACTAATATTTTTATTGAAATTCAATGTTTAAAAAAACACTGAAAGAAGTTATCTGTCCTATAATGTAGTACTTTTGACTATATTAATAAGTCTTTTGGTTGGTGAATATAGAAAAATGCACTTATGCCCAATTAACATATCAACCTTTCCTATATTTTGACTGTTAAAATTCTCTTTCCCCTGCCTACTCATAACTCTAATTTCTTTATTCTGTTCTATGACATTATTTCTTTTGCAACTCAGGGAATAGAACCCAGGGTCTCATGCATGCTAAGCAAATGCTCTACCAGGGAGCTACACCCCAGACTTTAGTTAAGATTACAGGTGTGTGCCACCAAGCCTGGCTCTGTACTATATAACTTATTTTTTAGCACTCAAATTTTGTGCAATTCTAAGACAAATTCTCTCTACATAAATAATCCATCAGCCATTTAAAGATTATCTTTACTAGGGGGTAAGAGGATAATTAAAAACATACTAATAGCAAGGTTATAAAAGCCATTTCCTACATGTAAATTACAAGAATAATTAATAAATACTTACGATCTATAGTAATTTTTTCAGTTCCATCTAAAGGATTAATAATTCCTGGAATAAGTTCTCCAAAAGACAAATGATCTATTCTGTGAGAAAAGTTGTAAGCTAAGAGACAAAAAAAAAAAAAAAGACAAAACAAAAACTAAGTAGAGAAGTTATATTATTCAAAAATACATACATGTTACAGATTGGTTTACATTTTTATCTATTCTCAAATGAAAATATCTAAACTTTACAAATATAATAATACGTTATTTAAAACAACATTAAGTTGAGAAAATGCATCAGGATTAAATGTGTAAAAGTAAATTCTGATAAAAAACAGTCTTAAGTTTTATAATTTACATGCAAATTAAATTCTAAGAAACAATATTACATTTAATCCTGAGAGCAAAAAAAATTTACATCTTTCTTGATCCAATAAATTATACAGTTACAAGATCCTGTTTTTACATGAATTGGGATGATGTTCATCTGACTAAATGATGAAGCTGATCATATATATTTTTCACATACATCATTGCTGTAACTAAACTTATATTTTTATAGAATTTATTTTGTTGTCTATAGCTGACTTTAAAAGTAACTCTTCTCACAATCATTATATCAAACTAACTTTATACATACACATGAATATGGCCACATTTAGATACAAAAATTGAACTAAACTTCAAATATATTCTCTTGTCTATAAAAATTAGTGGAACTGCATACAAAATGATACAAAGTACATCTAGGTCTTCATCCCCAACCTTAGAAGTACCTGAGCTATTAGCAAACTGAAGTAAAAGCAGATTAAAGACAAAAAATATATTAGAGTAAAAAAATTCAATAATTAATTTTCTCTTCTGGAGAACATCTGTTTTTAAAAAGCTTACTTTCAAAACCCTATTTTGCACCTGCAATAAAACAAACAAAAACATACACCAAATAAAAACTCCACTTTTTTCTTCAAAGACATCTACACTGAAAAAATTTCAGAAACTACTTACAGTCATGGTTGACAAGTGCTGCTAAATGTGCATGACCTCGAGGATGTGGAATTGCCCTGAAAGGAAGGAAAAAAAATTAAAGTAATAACACTTAAAAAAATATAACTAATTAAGGGGCTGGGGTAACAGCACATTGGTGTAGCACTTGCCTAGCATGTGTGAGGCACTGGGTTCAGTCCTCAGCACCACATAAAAATAAATAAATAAAATAAAGGTACCGTGTCCATCTACAACTAAAAAAAAAATTTAAAAAAAAAATATATATATATACACATAAAACTAACTAAAACTAGAAAGTGGATCTTTCCCAAGTTACACAATTGTTTGTAGTACAAATAGAAGAATGTATGTGGCTTATGATTAAGAAGACAAGTCTTATCACCTTGGCAGTATAAGGAACTGGGGTTGGCAAACATTTTTCTGTAAGGAAACAGGTAATAAATATTTTAGGCTCTGTGGGTCAAGATACAATATCAAAGCTATTACATAGAATATAAATTCTCATACACTTTTATTGCTGAAACTCAAAATAATAATAACTTAGTACTACTTTTTGTAATGTAAGTGTTTAACAGGAAAGCTACTTTTTCCTTAGTGTTCCTATTTTCAAAACTGATTACAAGTGTTTATCTGTTAATGATGATCTATAATGAAATCTTACATATTTCAAATTTAAAAATATAAATCCATGACTTGTTTGAATTGGGCATATTCATTACTTGGAAGGTATTTCGGCAATACTTATTAGATTCTGGGTATTTGCTTTTAAGCATGTCATTCATTACATAACAGCTTAATAATTTAAGAATTTACTCAATTGTGTAGTTACAAGGATTTTTAAAACACAGAAATTTCCTTTGCAGTTAAAAGTGCTTGAAAACACTTTTGGAAGTACAATTTGAAATAAGAAAATATATCCAAGTAGAAGAATGGAAATCTAATTCCTATTTAAACTTTTAACAACACAACCTATGAAGCATTAAGAGCAAAAGAAATTACTCAAAAATCACTTATAGTATTTGTATCAAAATAACCTTTACCACAATATCAGCTTCATATATAAACTCTGTTTTTGCCTTATGACTTTAGGTTAAATTCATCAAGTAACCTTACTGAGCACGCACAAAACTAAATTTCCAAAGCTACTCTGTTTGGTAATAGTGGTAGATGGTATATTCTCACTAAAAAAATTTTCATCTTGGTAGTGAGCTTAAGAAAAAAAAAGAGCTATAAAATTTACCTTCGCTAAGCCATCAAATTCCTGTGTAGGAGGGCAAGTTAGAATATTCAGCTTTTATTTTTAACAAAAATTCATGGAAATTACAATATTTAAGTCCATGAAAGCAAATTAAATTTACCACTACTAGTTAAAAATACATGATAAATTTAAATATTTTCTGTAAAATACTGATGAAAAATGGATAACTATAGGCTTTTAAAAAAGTCTGTATTTTTGGGCTGGGATTGGGGCTCAGCGGTGGTAGAACACTCGCCTAGTATGGGCGGGATCCAGGTTTGATTCTCAGCACCACATAAAAATAAAGGCATTGTGTTGTGTCCATCTACAAGAAAGATTCATTCTCTCTCTCTCTCTCTCTCTCAAAAAAAAGGTCTGTATTTTCACAATTTGAAAATGTACTCAAGCAAATCTTTTCCTGCTACTACATTATTTTTACATCATCAGTTGTAACACATCTTAGTAGATTTCACTTTATGTTGTACTGAATTTGCGCTTTCTTGATTCCTTTAAAAATATTCTTCCCTAAGTTATTCCACATAGACTAATCAAAGATTCTAATTTTAAATTGTTTTAAACTCAACATTTACTTCTCAAATAAAAAAACAAACACTACTGGTAACTCCTACCTACTCATCAATTATTTAGTAAAACCACTCAAAATCACTTGCCTTTTTTTTAAATTGACTATTAGCTACTGCTATTAAGGTCCAACTGCTATAACACTTTCCTTGCTGAAGGCTAATTACCTGAAGCAAATTTATTTTCTATGAATATACTGTTTCAGCTGCATTAAATTATCAGTACATAGCTTTCCTTCCTTGGTTAACCAATGAGACACTCAGAAACTTACTTTAATTGCAACCTCACTTTCCTATTTTATATTTATGAAGAATTTCTAGATATTCTAATTTCTAATTTTTCTGACCATCGTGTTTCTATGAGTTAGGTTAACATCCAATAAAATTAAAGTTTTGTGCAACAAAGCAACTCCCTATGCACTGAAATAACTAATAGTTTAGTCTGGTAAAGTGCCGTGTGTTCAGGGTAATGTATATTACCTCAGATTTACTATTAAAACAAAGTCTATTGTTGTAGGCTATTCCTATCCCCACAAAGCATATCATTCTAACAGTATTCCTACTAAAATTCTAAACAAATTTTTAGACAGGAAAATTTCTGAATAATCACATTATAGCATCATATCTGACTTCAATGGTCTCTCTCTCACACAGTCTCACAAACCAGTATTTTATTCTGAGAGGAATAGAGAACAATTTTAAATTATGCCTCTTTTTTATTTCCTTCTTAAATTTTTGTTAAGACACACTTAAAAATTTATGAAGTAATAGCATAAATATACATCTCCCTTTAAAAAATTAAAAGGCAAAAATCAAATTAAAGGACTGGGGTCGTGGCTTAGTGCTAGAGCACTCGCCAAGCACGTGCAAGGCACTGGGTTCGATCTTGAGCACCATGTTAAAATAAAGGTATTGTGTCCAACTACAATAAATAAATAAATAAATAAATAAATAAATAAATAGACAGACAGACAGATAGATAGATAGACAAAATTAAATCATTCCTAGTACATGATAGCAGTTCTCTGACCCTTGTTAAATCTCTTCTTAGGGAAGTTAGATAACTAACAATTTACCTATTTCTTTCCTGGACACTGTAATTTCTACCCTTTCAGACAGGAAATCTAGCCCAAATGATCTTTCAGTGGAGAAAAAGTTATTCTGAAAATTGGGGTTGGGGAGATGCATTTCTGATTGTGACAATTATTGGGAAGAGGTTGCTACTGGCATTTGTGGACAACAGCCAGAAAAACAAAACAAACTGCAAAGAAAATCAATTTAAAAAAAAAAATTTGTTCTTCATCTTACCTAACTTTAAAATGCTTTAAGAGACACTCACATACGTGAAAAACCTATATATAATTACCTTAGACTAGAACCTAATTCCATTTAATTTCACAAAGTACTTGCAAGAATTTCAATATACACTAAATTTCCCAGGAAACTGAGTGAATATTAAACTATTTTCTTCACAACATTAAAGAGAGTTGTTCTTATTCCAGAACAACATCTCATCAACAAAAATGCTAATACACCTTTCACAATCTGTTAGTATAAGTTGCAAACATCTGCCTGCTTCCTTATATTTTCTAGTATATTCATTTGCATGCTGAAATACATATTATAAATTATGTTATATTATACATAATATAAATCTCTCTTATATTACAATTAGAAATGGCACTATGTTTGAGAGATAATACACAATTTTCAAAATGATCAGTTCTGTACTTGACAAATCCAAGACCCAAAAAGTTAGGAATGTGTTCACATAAAGACACCACTGAGTTGATAAGATACAAACCAAATGCTTTTCCATGGGGCCTCTCTCATTGAAACTATACGTTATCATCATGAGAGTGTAAGTTTTCATATTGGACTAGGATATACGCAAAGGTGTAATAAAATCTTCTAAATTTCTTTGAGCCAACTATTGATATTAAAAAGTTCTAAGGTTCTGAATAACAGATTGGGAATGGGTACAATGGGTTCAGGCCATAGCAAACAAATAACAAAATCCGAGGGAGGAAATTTATTTATTCATTCAGAAATTTTGTAAAATTTATTATTCTACAACTTCTATGCTAAATGCAGTTCATAAGAAGTGTGATCTGATATTTTTCCTTAAGTTTTGCCTAATTTAACTTTATTCCAGAATACTGCTGGCTTCTAACTATATCAAAATATTTGTCAAGAATTAGTCAAGGACTATGGGATTGAGGTTGTGGCTCAGCAGTAGAGCACTTGCCTAGCACATGCTAGGCCCTGGGTTTGAGCCTCAGCACCAAATAAAAATAAATAAATAAAATAAAGGTATTGTGTCCAACTAAAACTAAAAAATTAAAAAAAAAAAAAAAAAAAAGAATTAGTCAAGGACTAAATTTTGGTGAGGGATACTACAGGGTTTTAAACAAAATGAAAGCCTTAACAACATGACCAAATTAATGAAATGTCTAAATATGAGTTCTCTGGGTACTAAAATTTAGCAAGCCGAAAGTTTTAATTCGTATTTACCAATAGTTCATTTATTCTACTATATAAAATATGACATGACTTTTACTTTTGTCCTGAGGTAGTTTTTAAAGTTAGTATATTCTTCTATGTCCTGAAAATAAAGCCCTGCAAAACAATCTCAAGACATTAAAAATAGACACACAACATTTTAAGCAGTCCTTTACTAGCTAGCTATATATTATTAGGGAAAAAAAATTTACTTTTAACCAAGCTCCAACCTTGTCTAAAGTATTTTTGGTAAAAGAAAAGAACATACTTGCCCACAGTTATGTGAAAATTCCCTGCTACTTTATTAACATATAGATGACCACGAATTCTGCATGCATCTGGAGACTGTGATGAATCATCTTCCCTATTAAAATAAGATATATTAAGATTACTTAAAATACATTTGCTAATCATTCTGTTGTGAGAAAATTACATATAGAAGGAATAAAAGTCCAAAAAGATAAATTTCTAGATAATATCCTAAATGTCAAAAATAGCAGTTTCCTAAAGTCTCCAAAGTTAAAACAATACATCTACAAAATAGAAAAATATATATATAATTATTACATGTCTACTGTTTACACAAACCTGAAATTACATGTTTCTTTAAATCTAATCAGAGGACTAAATTCAATGACAGAAGATTAAAACAAAAGAAACAGTCCAACCAAAGATATACTTTCTTCATCTATTTCTGGCACTGAGGGAGAAAGGGGACAACAGGAATAAAACCAAGGTAAGGAAAGGGAATCCTTTCTAACTTTGAATAGACAATAACAATTTCTTCCTAAAAAAATGTAAAACCTCTGAATATTTTTAAAGTATCCTTTTCATGATCATAACTTTTCTTAATATCAGCTATTCTAACCTTTAAAAGAAAAATAAGAGAAGTAAACAAAGTTCCTAACCAAAATTTATGCATCCTCATAATAGTAATCGCAATTAATTTGTTCATAAAACCTAATTTTAATATATACATACATACATACATATACATATGTATGTATGTATGTGTGTGTGTGTGTATATATATATAAATAATAATAATTTGGCGAGGGGGAGGTACTAGGGATTGAACCCAGGGCTGTTTAACCACTGAGCCACATCCCCAGCCTTTTATTTTTTATTTTAGATAGGATCACACTAAGTTGCTGAGACTGTCTTCGACTTCTCATTACTCTCCTGCGTCGCTGGAATTACAGGTGTGTGCCACTGTGCTTGACCCTAATACAATTTTATATGAAGGTATAACATAAAGTAAATAAATAAAAGTGAAATAATATATTGTAATAGTCCTAATCAAAATTACAGGCTGCATACATAATAATAAAAACTAATATTTAACAGTGTATCTTTAATAATTAATAATTCATGATAGAATTATTAATGGTTCATAATGATAATCAGTAATAAAAATTTTCAGAGTAAAACTTATTCCATTCTGAGAAAAAAAATAAGATTTAGAAAACTAAACCAATAATAAAACTGTCAAATTCACAGTAAGTATAGGAAATTTGCAGATTTAAAATGCACATCTCACCTTGGTGGAAGTGCTGTTGATGCACTTTTAAAAGCACTTTTAAATATCACATCTTGAAGTGAATGCTCTTCTTGCAGCCTACTCTGAATCAGCTGCAGCATCCTAAATTAAACACAAATAATAATTTAGAAATATAGTAAGGTAAACAAAGATAGTCAATAGTTATTCAAAAATAGCAATGGTTAGCTGACTTAGCTAAACCATATGTATTTAATATACAAGATTTTATTCCAAAATAAAGTATATAAAGTTTCCTCTATTTATTTCTTTGGAACCAAGAAAAATGAGGTGAGATAGTTAGAGGTCTAATAGCTAGTACTGAGAAATCCATCTGATTTCATCAATAATGAACATGCAGTCAGGATTACCAAAAAAGTTCTACTTACCTGAATATCTAAATTCATCTTTCATACATATGTCGACAATTACAAAATTTTAACTTTTTGTCAGTCATTGAATTAAGTGTCACAGATACAAAAAACAAGACAAATAAGGGCATACAATAGACTTGATGGAATTGGAAATGACAGATTACTAGGATATAAACCCACATCACCAGCATCTACTTTTCATTTCAAACTAAATAATGAGACCATTTAAATATTACCTGGTGTCCTTCCCAAGACAGTTAAACTTTATTCTATGACAAGATCATTCTAAATAAAATATATTTCTTCCTACATAATTTTAAAAGTAATATCAACATATAAGCATAGGATTATAGAAAGCAAAGCATACATTTGAGAAAAAAAAATACTTAGGTTTTAATCTCCTTTAACATCTTTAAATAACTAACATCCCAAGTCATTCGTAGTAAAGTTCAAACTTAGCAAGTATAAAAATTAAATATGGTGGGGGGAAAAAGGTATTAAGTAAAATGGAATTTTTAGGGCAGTGGAAGTTTTCCTTCCACAATGTGTTTTATTATACATCTGTCAACTTACAGAATGTACAATATCAAGAGTGAACCCTAATGTATACTTAAAACTATACTAAAAGATAAAAGTCTGTTCATACACTCATACACACACATACACACACACACACACACACACACACACACGCATCACTGAACATAAATAAGGTATGTATAAACATAGGCACTTAAAAATGTAAATGTAAATCTGATAATAATTCACACTCCACCAAATGATAAAATAAGCATTTTCTTGAAATGAAAATGGGTGATAAAATATGTATGTACCACCCATCTAAATACTGGTATAACAGGGCTACTTAAAATAATTCATATTTACACTATAAATTTAGTTTATAATAAATCTTAAATCAGGAGACTCTCATCACTATATAAAATATATGTATGAAGAAGTGAAATTGGTATCAAGATACCTTATATATAATCAGAAATATGATAAACTATGATATTAATGGTGTATAAAGAATTGTAATGCAAAAATTAATAAATAAATAGATATTTTTTAAAAAAAATATTAAATCAGACTTTTAAAAGTAGAAATTCAGAAAGACTATCACCAGGGTTTGATTTTTTTTTTTTTACAAAAGAGAATAATTGAGATCTTAGGATCTTTGCCACCTGCACCTCAGATAGAACATTAATCTGAAGGATATACAAAGAACTCAAAAACCTTAACACTATAAAAACAACTAATCTAATAATTAGAGAAGAACTGAACAGATACTTCACAGAAGAAATATGATCGTTCAACAAATATATGAAAAATGCTCAAGATCTCTAGCAAGTAGAGAAATTCAGATTAAAACTACAGTGAAATTTCATCTCACTCCAGTCAGAATAGCAATTATCAAGAATACAAATAACAAAAAATGTTGGTGAGGATGTGGGGGAAAAGGTAGTGGGACTGCAAATTGGTGCAACCATTATAGAAAGCAGTAAGGAGATTTCTCAGAAAACTTGGAATGGAATCACCATTTGACCCAGTTATCCCACTCCTCAGCATATAACCAAAGGACTTAAAATAAGCATAATATAGAGAGTTGGCACATCAATGTTTATAGCAGCCCAATTCACAACAGCTAAGCTATAGAACTAACCTAAGTGTCCTTCAACAGATGAATGGACAAATAAAATGTGGTACATAAGGGTAAAAAAAAGTTCATACGTACATTATTCTGGAAGACATAAGGTCTTGGAAATCTCTAGGCCATTCAAGAGTAAGTAAAGATATGTATACGGGGTAAAAATGGGAGTTCATAACCCACTTGAATCAAATGTATGAAATATGATATGTCAAGAGCTTTGTAATGTTTTGAACAACCAATTTAAAAAATAAAAAAATAAAAAATAAATAGATAAGCAAATAAAA